ACTAATGTGGAATATTTTCTATTAAACAAACAGAGAATTGAGATTTGCAGTTTGCGAATTGAGATTTTTTAAACAAAAAGAGGATGTAAAAAGCGCAGGGGACCATGGTAATGCTGACAATAATGAACTCCAGCATCATCTGCTTTGAATCTGCTGATTATAGGAGTGTTGTAAGGGTCAGACTCATTAAAACTAAACTGTTCTGGAGTTCCCAAGGGACAGGAGGCAGAATAAGAACTAAGGAGAGTAGAAGCTTGTCCAGGTTCCTGTTAGCACCAGACAGTTTCAATGACAGTGAAGGAAAGAGGTCAAATTACACCTCTGTCCACCTGTGAGGCGCCTTGCACCAGCGCATGGCGACTGGACCCAGAGTGGGTGTTAGGGAGGCTGGGAGCAGGATGTGACAATAATCAAGAGTAGAGCTGATGAGGGTGGGGACAATAGAACTGATTTATCTGCATTTCTTCCAAATGTGTGGAGTGAGTTTACTATCATATTAGTTTTGTTATAAACTACTTAGCTGAAATTTCCGATGCTCCACAATAGTATGGGTAAGTGTTGCCATCTTGTGGCCAGGACATGAATGGTCTGTAGCACTGAAGGGTTTGAATTAATAACTTGAATATGGTGGGCCTTATTCTCTGCTGCCGGGATTGGTGTGGACAGCGGTATGTCGGTGGGGGAGTGTCTCCTGTCAAAACAACTACCGCCACTCGTTGTGGATGAATTAATTATGTCGACGGGAGAGCTCTCCCTCCTTGTCATAAAGTGGCTACCCAAGCTTTCTAGTGTAGACGTGGCCTAAGTCTTTGTATGGGCTGCAGGGGAAGGAAGCAGCCAATTTGCTGTTTCTGCTCATCCAAGTAGCTTCTGGAGGCTTTGGAAAGTGGTCGCCATTTGTCAGATGATGTGTGACTTGTGTTGTAAGGATAGTGGGAGCTTGGATCCTGCCTATAGGAAGGAGTGAGTAAACTTGAGTGGACAAAGGGAAGCTGCTGAGTTTATTGTAATAAATCAGCCTGTAAATTCCAGCAGGCTGGGAGCTGTAGAAATGAGAAGATGAAATTAGACTGTGGTTTGTGGTTTCTCAAAAGGTGCCCAAAATCTGGCACATGCTTGCCTGCTCTGGGAGTGGGTAGGAAACAGCTGTTACATCGAGTATCAGAAATGGAACAAAGGTTTTTGTACTGTATCACTGTAAGAGGGAAGCTCTGTCCCTGCTGACAATAATAATCTCCAGCATCATCCACCTCGACTCGGCAGATTCTAAAAGTGAAGTCGGTTCTAGACCTGCTGCCACTGAACCAATCTGGGATCCCAGAGGGACGGGTGGAAGCGCTGTGTATGAGGCGCTTAGGAGCTTGTCCTTATCTCTGTTGGTACCAGGACATGTAGCTGCCAACATTGGAACTGGCTTTGCAGTTGATGATGACTCTGTCTCCTGGAGATACTGACAGGGATTCTGGAGTCTGAGTCAGCACAATCTGCCCCTCAGAATCGTGGCAGAGAGGAAAAACATTATAAGAAAAATAAGGAAAATCAAATTAAATACTATTAAAAAAGGAGAGCTGCAAATAGTGCCTAATTTTAAGTTGAACCACTGAGTTACATTAAAGTCTGTGTCCTCTGGAAATGTCTCCTTGTGATCTCATGGGATGAAGAATTAATGGTGATTTGATGAAGAGATCTATGATGATGATTATCTTAATCTAATACCTCCCCTGGTGGTGGTCTTACCCTAAATCCACAGCACTAGGAGCCAGATCAGATGAGTCTGTGAAATCATCCTTGTCCCTCTAGTCTGACAGTCACTGAGAATCTAAGGCATAAAGACTAAGAAATGAAACTTTTATATCTGCCCGGCATTGCAAGGAAATGTCACTCAGGTGGAAATATGCAAAGCAGCTGCTCTGTGTAAGTGAGCATTCCCTGTGGCCCAGGGCAGAGTGTGTAGAGAGAGAGCCATGTGCAGCCTTTGGTCTGAAAATGTAGCACCTGTGCATGGAATCGAGTATTATTGCTCACCTGTCAGCTAGGGCTTTTATAATCATTAAAAGCTTTAGGTGAACATCCAGTGTTTGTGTCTGTATCATTGATAAGTTGCAGCCAGGTTCTGAGAAGTACCTTACTTCAGAAGCTATCGTACTGATTTCGGTGGCACTGTTTGTGCAGGAAGGTACTATTCAGCTCTTGAGTTACCACGTTTAGATTAGATTTGGGCCTGAACTGAAATCCCAGGTTCAAGCAGCTACAAACTATGGAAGAGTTTGGCTGTGCATCTGGAACTGAGTGTCACGACTGGCCCCTCTCTCTTTAAAGAACTGAACCAAAGTCCTGAATCCAACCTCCTTGAAATGTTAATAAATTTAGCTCTCAATCTGTCTCCAGTACAAGCTTTGGCCAATCTGTAGCTTGGATCCTGCAGCACATTCATGGACAGGCCATCATGGTTCTGGATAGTTCACACCTAGAGTCACCTGGAATAGCCATGAGTAGAGAAGTGAGATAGAAAGAGCTTTAAGGTTGAAGGAGATTTGAGCAATTAAAGATCTTGCTGAAAAATGCCATTAACAATAACAGGAACCGAGTCCATTTATGAAGTTTGTGTGAGGTTTGTGCTGGTGATTGACAGCTTTGGGAAGAGGAGATGTGGGGCCTGACCATCTCCTTCCATGGGGAGTGAAAGTAAGCTGTGCATGAACCCTGTCGAAGAGCTTTCTCCAATCCATTCTGTTGCTGGGGCCCCTTGTGCAAGAAGCAGCGCTTCTGCCCCCAAACACTGCACAACATGGGAGATGCACAGGAGGTCAGGACCATCGATGTGGTGGGGACTCTGCTTCTTTGTTGGTTCTAGGGCTGTCTGCCTTTCTGCCACAGTCCTGAGCCACTGGGACCATGCTGACAAGGTTTCCCCTGTCTGGCCTCCCCTTGAGACCCTCACCACTCCCAAGGACACACACGGGTAGCAGTGGAAGAGTTAATGCTCACTCAGGTTACATTAAGTCTGTGAAGTCTTTGGGGGAACTTGGTCAAGTTACTTCACGTCTGCCTCAGTTTTCCCCATCTGTAACTATAGTGACTTTTCCTGTAGAACACTTTGAGATCAGTGTACAAAGACCAGCAGAGAAACGCTGAGTACTATTACTTCATGGCACATGACTGTTCCATAGGCTTTTGCTGCTGTGGTCTTGGTGGTGCTGGGAAACTAACTCATTAGTCACGACAACTGCTGGCTGGTGCATGTGTTTCTTTCCCTATACGTGTGTTAGCAAGTTAATAGAGCTCACAGAAACTAAACAATGGCCTCCTGGCTGGAGAGTTTTTGATGAAATGTTGATCTGAATGTTTTCCTCAAAGGAGCCAAAGTCAATGGATTTTCTTCCAATTTATACCAGCTTAATTCAGAGAAGAATCTGACCCTTAGCTGTATTTTTTTAAATTAGCTAACAGCCAAAATGTTCTGAATTTAATACACTCTGCTTTCTCTCTGGTTTTGTCATCTTGTCAGCTGATCGGAGCAGACAGGCAAATGAAGAGTGTTGTAATTTGATGGAGCAGTATATAGAAGACACAAGAATAGTATGTGAGGGATTTAAGCCTATTTGCCATGTGTGGTGTGGTAGAGACTGGTCTCAGATTTTGCTGTAACCTGCAGGAAAAGCCTTCCCTGTTGCGTGTTCTGACTTCATCTAAACCATCAAATCTTCCTTACTGTTACGTAAGAATGAAAGAAGAATGTTTCCATCCTGTGCTAGCAGTGGTTAGACTATACTCCCCGTGGGGGGAAAATGACTGTGAAGATTAAGTCAAAAGAAAGCAGCCAAGTGGTGCCTGAAGTCTGACCCTAGCACTGTCCCCATATGGAGAACAGCAGGTGCACAAACACTGTGAGTCTGTACGTGAAGCAGCTGATTCACAGAGCAAAGCAAATGGAATAGTACAGTTCTAATCTGTCATACAGATTTGTACGCAGTTTGATCGCCCCAGAGAGCCCACAAGCAAAACCCTTCAAGAGAGTGTGAATGCCTCAAGACTACGTTTCAGAGTAACAGCCGTGTTAGTCTGTATTCGCAAAAAGAAAAGGAGTACTTGTAGCAGGACAGTGGGGTGGGAGGAGGTATTTTTTCATATTCTCTGTGTATATAAAGTCTGCTGCAGTTTCCACGGCATGCATCCGATGAAGTGAGCTGTAGCTCACGAAAGCTCATGCTCAAATAAATTGGTTAGTCTCTAAGGTGCCACAAGTACTCCTTTTCTTTTTTCAAGACTACGTGGTATCCAAAGCACTGATTATAGTAGAGAGGTTCAGATTTCACAAGTGAAATCAGCTTGCATGTGAATCTATTTCCCCCTTGGTGACAGGGTTAAAAAAGACTGTCATAAGACTGGTTTCAGAGTAACAGCCGTGTTAGTCTGTATTCGCAAAAAGAAAAGGAGTACTTGTGGCACCTTAGAGACTAACCAATTTATTTGAGCATGAGCTTTCGTGAGCTACAGCTCACTTCATCAGATGCATACCGTGGAAACTGCAGCAGACTTTATATATACAAGACTGTGTTTTTAAGGATGGGCTTAACAAGGCCCTAAGAGAAAACTGTGTGTGGATTGCTTAATGAAAGCAAACAGAAGAGGCTTCTAACTGAGGAAAATCTGACTTTTAAAGGCTCAGTAGAAATTGGACTAGCAATGGAAAGTGTGGCATGGGAGCTAAAACAGAAGTAGAAATTCAGGCAAGAGGTGATCCACTCAGCAGACAGACCCATGTTATGGGTGTGGAAAAGTGTTCCACACTCCCCGTGACTGCTGATTTAAACATGCCTGACACTGTAATAAAAAAGGGCATAGCCAAGCAGTTTGGCTCGCTGAGAGAAATAAGAAAGAGTATAGGGTATAGATAAAGGAATATCAATGTATACTCTGTGGACAGAGGCAGTAGTGACACACAGTGCGAGAGTGGGGTAGCCAGCCTGGATATGTCTAGAGTAAGGAGAAATGGCCAGTCAGCGATCTGGTTGACCCTGCGGGTGACGGGAAAAATGCTCAATATGGAATTGGACACAGGCCCGCAGTGTCCATTGTCTCACACTCAGGAAATATTGAAAAATACCATATTGAGGGAGACACCAATGTTGCTAAAAACGTATGCAGGAGCAAAGATAGTGCCCATTGGAGTGATGCAAGTGAAGTGGAGTATAGCAATAAGCAATGCTTTTTTAGACTTGTATGTCATTGAGAAGGGGGGACTGGCCCTGTGGGGCTGTGAATGTTTACATAAGGTTCTCCTGGCTTGGAAATCTATTAAGATGCTGCAGACTTTAAAAAGTGCCCTGGAGCGAGTTGGGAGCTCCTCTCATTTCAACGGTAAACAAAAATAGAGGGGAAAAAAAGAAGAAGAAAGTGGTGCCGTAAGAATATGTGGATATTTTAAAGTGATGCAGAACATCTGGAAACCCTGAAAAGGGTATTAAAATGTATAGAAGAAGCTGGTTTATGACTTATGAGCCAATCGCATAAAATACAAATTTGTCAAGGACTCAATAGCTTATCGTGGGCACATTATTGATGCACAAGTTCTGCCTAAACCACAGAAGAAGATTAAAGCGGTCCTGGAAGTGCCACCAACAGGGGATGTGTCACAACTTAGATCATTTCTAGGTTTTATTAGCTACTAGAGCTGATTTGTACCAAACCCAGCAACTGTTTTGCATCCACTGAACTGTTTGGTGCAGGATGGTCAAAAGTGGCTATGGTCATGTGAGTATCAAAAAGCTTTCCCGGAAGCAAAATAATTGATCACATCTGACAAGTGTCTTTGTGTCTGTAAGTGATGCTGTTACACAGAGTCCTCCAAGTATATTCTTAATGTGTGAGCAGATGTTCCCTTTTGGGAAGTCCAAGTTGGGTTATTGTTAGTTTGGGTTACGCAGGGCTCTGAGGAAAGCTAGCTGTGTGAGCAGCAGCAGGAAGGTTGCTCTCTGTCTTAGTCTCTGATTAAATTCTTGAGGCAGATTTTCTCCCTGGGACATGTGCATTGGGATGAGATTCTGATAGAGAGGTTTGCCTGCTTGCTGTTTTTAATCACCTCAGTTTCAGAACTGGTGTATGTGAGTAAATAAAACAAGTTTAGCTTAGTATTCTTAAAGTCAACATCACTAATTTCTCTTATGCTGAGAAGCTGACTTGAAAGGACCAAACATCTGCTCGGCAGAGACTGAGCACTAGTTTCAGGAGTGGGGCACTGGTGTAGGAAAGAGACAACAGTATTATAGAAAGATCAGCAGTGGGAGCAGGGGGCTCGGCCTGGTGTTGTAAGACTGCCAAAATGCTGTCTGAAAACTAGCAATTATGTATGGGAAGCAGCTGTTAGAATGAAAGGGACGGGATGGGGAGGTTTTTGTATTGGTCTGTATCACTGTGAGAGGTGAGCTTTTATACTGCTGACAATAGTAATCTCCAGCATCTTCAGCTTCAACTCTGCTGATTGTGAGAGTATAATCAGTGCCAGACCCACTGCCGCTGAACCGGTCTGGGATCCCAGAGGCACGGTTGGAAGCATGATAGATGAGGAGCTTTGGAGCTTGTCCTGATTTCTGTTGGTACCAGGCTAGTAAGTGATAGCTACTCCAGGTGAGACTTGAACTGGCTTTGCAGTTGATGGTGACTCTGTCTCCTGGAGACACTGCCAGGGATTCTGGAGTCTGAGTCAGCACAATCTGCCCACTGGACTCTGAATTAAGAAACAGAATATAAATTAGCATGAACATGCATAGTCTCTCTCTACATAGTGTTTCTATCTCTCTGTGTAGTCTGTACATTTGGTGTATCTCTCAATAGTATAGATAATCCAAATACCCAATATTTTGTCTTGATAAATATTCCCTTGTGCCTCTTTCCATACATCTGATAGTTCATCTTCTGAGAATAACATTAATAAGAAGTTTGAGGTGGTTCTTTTATTCCACATAGTTTCCAATTGCTTGTATTTTTCTCAAATCTGTTTTTTCTCTTAATTGTCATTAGAAGACCAGCATTTCAGAAGTTACTGTCACTAAGTGAGGAATGTTTACAGATCAATAATAAAAAATTCTAGAGCTCTTAAATTTTTCTGTGGATCATTGTGACTTAAATTATCCATTGCCCCCTTCATTTGATTCTTACCTTGGATCCAGAGCACTAACAGCCAGATCAACTGAACCTGAGCGATCATCTTGCTACGTCTGACTGACACAGTGCTGATCAACAAACTGTAACCAATGAAATGGAACATTTATAAGGGCTGAGAGCTGCAGAGAGTGTTACTTTGGGTGTGAGATATGCAAACTTAGTTCAGAGATGGAAATGTCCATGTGAGCTAAAAACATGCAGAAAAAGGGAAGTAAAAGGGGCCATGGATGAAATAGGCAAGTTCAACCTTATGGACCCTGGGGCAGCATCCTCAATTTGTGTTCAAATGGCAATTCTGACGATAGTGAAGGCGGCGGCTAGAGGTACCTATCTTGCTCAAGACCCTATTTTGTTGAACAAATCCATATTAGGTTACAGTTCCTGTTCCTCACTTTGTGTTGAAATGGCATTTGTCAGGGTGGAATGGGAAAAGATGCTCTCAGCTCATCAGTGTTGCTCAGCTGCTTGTTAACATTTAAATGGTTCTAACAGCGTCTTTTTGAGGAGATTCCTATCAGTGGTGTGATCTCCATGCGTCAGGGGATCTGCACAGGGGCCTAATCTTCCCTTTCCTACTACTCCCTACTGGGTTTATTAGTCGTTACCTCAGAGACCGTATTGTTATGCACAGTGTTGTGGGAACCTTAATCCTGAATCTCCTATTTTGCCCTTAAAATCCCAAAGGTAACAGTGTACAGGAATAGGCTGGCGTTCCATGAAATGGTTTGGGAGCCCTGTGGCAGTGCTCCCTGTGTTCTGTTTAACATTAAATAACTAGACCATAATTATTATTCCTGGAGATTTAAAGTTAGACTCCTGAATCCATAGTTCAGCCCTTAAACTGTCTGGCCTCCTTTTCAAAAACACGGAGCTCTCAGCTACCGCTGGAAAGAGAGTGGAATATGGCCATCTTGTGTCAGTTGTGGGGAAGTTTAGCTTCTTGTTTAAGGAGGTTAGATATGCAACTCAGCTGCTCTGTAACTGGCCGTGTCCTGTGTGGGGCACAGGTGGGTAGAGCTCACGGCAAAGAAATACTGTACTTTGTGCACAAACACACCAAATGCTCCTAACCCCACCAAAAAAATACCTGTCAATAATGACACTCGGTAGTGTGAAAAACATGTTAAACGAATAACTTCTTGTTCTGAAAGGTTAATTTACCTTCCACTGTCAGAAGACAGGATCCTAGGTTAGATGGACCACTAGGCTGACCCAGTATGGCCATTCTTAGGTTTTGACCTGTTAAAAGAATAGATAATGGAAGTGAATACACTTCTGATTTTTCAATGTCTTTTAAGTGATTTAGAAACATAGCACTGTGATGTTATCTGATTAAAATATGACCATGTAGATCAGGGGTTTCCAAACTTTATGAGACGAGGGCCATGTTAGATTTTTGAAGGGGCTTCGCGGGCCGAAGTGACTGTGAAAGAAATTCAATATATGCAAAATCATTGAAAAAACAACACTACTCGACTCTGTCAGTGCTGCATTAAATTCTAAATCAGGTGTAAAAGTTAACCGAAGTAGGTATTGTGAAATCACACAAAATATTTGTCAATACATTAGAAATCATTTCACGTTATTTTTTTTAATTTTATTTCTAAAAACTCACATTTGTATCATACAAATACGCATATTCAAAAATAAAAAAATATTATTTTAGAATTCGTGAGAAGTAGGGTACTGATGTTTTTCTGACAAAATTGCATTTAGCTGTGGTTCGAAGTTAGTGTTCCCTGTCCTCAAAATTGATTGTAAATGTTCATCAGACGAGACCGATCTGTAGCTGGATTTCTCATATTTCATCATCGAAAATGTTTTTTCACACACATAAGTGGCTCCCATTGTTGGTTGGGACTGTTTGGTTCTATTAGTGCTGCAGTTAGAATTTAACCTTTATGCAATTGTTAATTTCCATCTTCTTTACTCCATTCATTGGAGATGGAATTAAGCATCTGGCTTGTATTTTTACTCGAAGGCAGGGGTCCGTGCCTGCTCGGCAGCACTTCTCCCCTAAGTTGGAGGGGACACTGGCTCCCTGGAGCGCTCACCCCTCTGCACAGCTCAGCTGAGCTATCCCCGCCCCTGTGCGCGAGTTGCAGCAGCCACTCCCCCTGCCTGCTCGGCGTGCCTACTCAGCTGCAGCCTGCCTGCTTTGTGCTGATGGGTATCTATGCCTGCCTATTTGCTTCTCCTGCTCGGCTGCAGCAACGACTCTCCCCTAAGTTGGCTCCCCTTTTGGGGGGACACTGGCTCCTGGGGCACTCACCCCTCTGCACAGCTCAGTTAGGCTGAGATAACCATGTTCATAAACTCAGTGTAATCCAGTGACTGTTTATTCTATAACATTTATATTTTGGTAATCTCGAAGGCCTTGAATGGTATGGGCCCAGTTGTGCCAGATACCATACAAAGAAATAATAGGTGACAGTCCTTGCCACAAAGCGCTTACTAACTAAATGGATTTTGATTGTAGACTATAGTTTATGGTCAGTATACAACATTTCTAGATCTTTTAAAATTTTGAGTTGATTATTGTCCTTTTGATTCATCAAATTGCTTCTTAGTTTAATCCTGACCCTCATCCAGAGCACTAACTGCGAGATGAGCTGAGCCTGTGAGATCATCTTGATACGCCTGAGTGGTCTGATACTGACCAACAGACTGTAACAAGGGACACGGAACATTTATAGCAGCTCAGAGAGGCAGGCGGAAGAGAAATATGCAAATTGGGTTCAGGGATGAAAATTTACATCTGGTCCATAAACATGCACAAAAAGAGGGGCTCTGAGTGATATAGGCAACTTCAGCCAGATGCTCCTGGGTACCAGAGCCTTTCTGTTAAAATGACATTTTTCAAGGATGAATGGGAGTAAATAGTCTCAGCATATTATTTCTGGAGCGCTGGTTAATATCACTTTATACTGGAGATCTCCTCACAGATGATACAGATGGTGTGATCTCTTTGGCAGAATATCTCCAGAAGCAAGAGGGCTTCAAGAAGGGAAAATCCTCAGTTAGCAGCGGTGGTCTTGATTAGCCCAATCTGTGCCCTTCCTGCCCATCCTCATCTGTACCTATACCGCAAAAAGTTTTGGTTTTGCTGAACTGACATTTTCAACGAAAAACTATTGTCAGAAAATTCCCAACCAGCTCTAATTTTCTCCTTTACTTCAGTCCAGTATTTAATCTGTTTTGATGAAATCACCAGTATTACAGAAACATTATTTTAGTCTAATCGGCTATTTTCTTTTCCCTTTTAAAAGGCAGATTCTATATGTCTGTGGAAAAGAAGCTTGGTGCTAATCAGTTCTATCCAGCAACTGATTAGTAAATAAGTGCTAGCAGTGTGCGGTGTCCCTGTCTAGAGCAGCTTACATTGTAAGTAGGGGAGATCTTTGTTTCAGAAGATGGGGAAACCGAGGCAGAGAGCGAGCTGATGTATTCAGGGGCGCACAACGACTTAATGGGGAAGGGAAATAGTCTCATAAGCTTTTGATATTTAACACTAGGCTCATTCCTGTAGAGCACTTTGCCTCCCATTGGCCCTTATGGCCATGAAAATTCCCACTGATGTCACTGGTAGTGTTGCTCACGTAATGGCTACAGCATGGGGCCTTGAGTAGACTTCCTAGAGAGACTGCCTCCACAGCTAAACCCCTGCCGAGAACAGCAGCATGGTCCATGGGACTGAGGCTGTGTGCTGCTGCCCAGGGCTAAGTGACTAGCAGATAAGGTGTAACTGCTGCAGGCTAAAAATGGAACTGGAGTCAGCTCTTTGCCTCTCCTATTTGAGATTGTCTGAAATCTAGACCAGATTCTGTAGGTTATTGGAATACGGAAGTGACTCAGGAATTGTAGTGTAGACACTCCTTTTCTCTCTCCCACCTGTGAACTGCCTTATGGGCATGCACCATATTGTGGAAAGGAGTCTAACTGCTTTGGGGCTTGTATGGGGAGGGAGACAGCCACTCTGCTCGTTCTGCTTTCACAAGTAATTTCTGGATGCTTTATACAGTGGTAGCCATTTGTCATCTGAAATGTTAGACCCATATTGTAAAGTTAGTGGGAAATTGGATCCAGCCTATAAGAGCAAATACTCTTCAGTAGTTAAAAGGAAGATATTAATGATTACCCTGCAAAAATTCCGGTCTTTGTGCTACTACAGGGTGGGGGAGCTGTAGAAATGACAGGAAGGAATGGATAACGGGGTGAGCTGCCTGAAACAGACAGACACGTCACCACTCTGACCCAGCAGCAGTTGGAACAATGCCTTTTCTGTTTATAGGGAATAGCTGTTAGAGTGAGGAATTGAAGCTGAAGAAAGCAGGGAGGTTTTTGCATTGCTCTGTATCACTGTGAGAGGAGAGCTTTGAGCTTGTTGACGATAATAATCTCCAGCATCATCAGCTTCTACCAGGCTTATTGTAAAAGTGAAGTCAGTGCCAGACCCATTGCCACTGAACCGGTCTGGAACACCAGAGGGATGGGTGGAAATGCTGTGCATAAGGAGTTTAGGAGCTTGTCCTGATTTCTGCTGGTACCAGGCCATGCAGCTACTAACACTGGAACTGGCTTTGCAGTTGATGGTGACTCTGTCTCCTGGAGACACTGCCAAGGATTCTGGAGTCTGAGTCATCAGGATCTGCCCCCAAGCATCTGGGTGAGAGGAAAAATATAATAAAAAAATCACATGAAATACTATTATAAAAGTAAATCTGCAAATATCTACTGTCTAATTTTCATTTAAACCATCTAGTTGCATTATCTGTGTCTATTGGAGAGATCATAGAATCACAGAATATCAGGGCTGGAAGGGACCTCAGGAGGTCATCTAGTCCAACCCCCTGCTCAAAGCAGGACCAATCCCCAACTAAATCATCCCAGCCAGGGTTTTGTCAAGCCGGGCTTTAAAAACCTCAAAGGAAGGCGATTCCACCACCTCCACAGGTAAGCCATTCCAGTGCTTTACCACCCTCCTAGTGAAAAAGTTGTTCCTAGTATCCAACCTAAACCTCCCCCAATGCAACTTGAGACCATTACATCTCC